AAAAAAATTTAAGATTTTTGAAGGCTCGTTCAAAATGTTATGTTTAGAGGTGTGATTTGGCAAGAGATTTCATATATGTTTTTGTTTGTAAAATCTCAAAAGTCTAATTTCTAGATAAATTCATTACTTTCTATTTTTTTATTTTAACTAACACCTCAAGACATTCAAAAGTATTAACAAACCCAAGTTTAATACACTATTATTCTTAAAATCACAAACAACTACAAACAACCCGAACGTGTTTATAAATTTTTATTACTAATTTTATTTTTATTATTATAAATTTCAAACAAACAATCAAATCGAACATTTTTGCAGATGGGAAATTGTACCTGCGAAGAAAATCAGTTTACAATATTTGGTTTATTAAAATTCATGCTTGAGTCGAATTTTTAACTCGTTAGTTAAATGAACACAAGCTCAAACACAAAAACTCTAACTCTGCTCGATTTGGATAACATCTCTAGTTCCATCTAACAACTTAAATAAAATATAAAATGAATTATAATATTACAAAAAAAAAAGTATTTAGTACATTGTAATTTGTAAAACCCATCTCAAAATTGAGTACAATATTGAACGAACATTAAATTTAAATATGGACGGCGATGAACAAAGTCTGGTGGCATTTATAATTGCGTGCTCTTTATTGACGCAAAATGAGGGCAGCTAATAGCCTAATATGCATCTAACCAATTTTCTGGCCCAATAATAAAAAGGAAGAAAAAAAAAAAATCCATAAATCCAAGGCAAATCGGAGGAGGAGAGAAAATGGCGGCCCGATACCTGTGGCGCGCCAAATCCAAACTATTTTTGACGGCCACTGCAGCCGCCGGCGCCGGTGCCGCAGCGGCGGCTATCTCCAGCTCCGAAGACGCCGCCTCCGCCGTAAAGCTCTCCACCGCCGTACCCATCCGGCTTTTCCGCAACGCGTTCACCGCCGCCGCCGTTGCTTTCGGTACGTGTTACAAATTCCAGTCGATTCAATACATGGCGAACAGAGTTGTGTCGTTATTAAAGATGAACAGAGATTTGTTTAAAAAAAAAGTGGCAAACGTGTTCGTGGACATAGATTTTTTTTGCTAGCTTGCGATTCGTATTGGATGTGCGAATTGAAATGTCATTTAATGTTTGTTATGTGAATTTGTTGAATTTTTAGATTAATTTTTAGCAGAATCAGCGTTATACTAAATTATTTAGTTGATGCATAAATGGTTGTTTGCGTTGGCTGTGATCTCATTGTGTGTGTTTGTGCGTGTTCTTCATATGTAAATAAATTGCTAACCATTCAGCTTGCAGTTGTATAAGGCAACATATCAATCTGCTAACAAATGGATTGTTGGTAATGGAAACTAAGTTATTTTAAATCTGATATGAGAATTTCCTCTGAAGTTCTTAGTTGGACATCCACATTCCTTTGATATAATTGTCTCAACTAACTATTTGCAGTTTGACAATGTAGAATCTCACGGTTTCTGATTTATTTGTCTTAGATTACGAATACTCTCTCTGGGGATTGCCTGAGGGTAGCGCTGAAAGAGAAAGAACAAAGCGTGAAGTTCACACCAGGGGCGCTCTTAGACTTCGGGAGCTTTGCTTTAAAAATGGCGGAATCTACATTAAGTTGGGTCAACATATTAGTCAGCTGGTATGGGTTCTAGTCATGCTCTCTTTTTCGGGGTAATATATAGTGTGAGTACTTAGTAATTGTCTTTTTCAGGAATACTTGGTGCCAGAAGAATATGTCCAGATAATGGGCCAGTCAATGCTGAACAGATGTCCAGTTTCGTCATACAACCAAGTGCGTGAAGTTGTCAAGAAAGAACTTGGAGGGGAACCTGATGAAGTATGTGCAGTATTTTAATAAAATGGTACTTGCAAGTTGCAACTAATATAGATATGTGGAGCAACTGAGGGTCAGCTAGAAATTTAGTATATTAGTGATGTGGATGAGCATTAGTTTTGTTAATCAAGCCATCTAATATTTTGGAGTGCTCATTTAGGTTTCGATCTTGGCAGATATTCCATGAATTTGATTCTGTCCCCATGGCAAGTGCTTCTTTGGCGCAGGTTCATGTCGGTCGAACTCGTGATGGACAAAAAGTTGCTGTGAAGGTGTCAAAATTTGAAACTTTTTGTGCTTGTGGCATTGATATTATAGTTCTTTTACCATTCTACTTTTATCCATTGTTTTTCTCCCCAATTACCTATTAGGTTATTTTGTTCAGGTTCAGCATACACACATGACGGATACTGCAGCTGCAGATTATGCAACTGTGGAGTTACTTGTGAATACTTTGCATTGGTTTTTTCCTTCTTTTGATTACAGGTTGAAAACAAATCAATCTCGTCTTAACTTTCCCTTAGAATAGAAACTAAATGATAACTTGTTTTGTTCAACATATTTGCTCTTTTATGTAACATTTACTTAGAACAAACACACACACACACACACACACACAAAGAAAAGGAGAAAGGAAAAATGATTTGATCTGTTTATCCTGTGCAGGTGGTTGGTTGATGAAATGCGGGAAAGTTTACCAAAGGTTTGTGGCTGAACTGCAGTAGCTTTTCCATGTGTTTTGTCGTTGTTGGGTCTTCAAGCTTTTCGGCACTTCATGCCACTTGCTCCAGTCAAGCTCCAGAATTGTATTTTGTACTTAAAGTCAATATAACATCCACAAGTTTCATGTGCTTGTTCCAAAAGTTTACCCACACAGGCTACAAGCTATATCATTACCTCCCAATAGTAAAGTTTTTTCAAATGCATAAATTTGAACAGTCCAATGGCAAGACCCTCAATATAGCAACACCTTTTATCTATCCCAAGTTTGCTTTGGGTTGTCGGTCTAGGTCCAGTCAGTTCAACAATATTTCCTGCTTCATTGTACCCACGCACCCTGCCTTAATTTATCAAACCCCATATACATGTAGTTAACCATCTCGAGATAAACATCCTATCTGTGCTTGCATCCCTCGAAATATTTTCTCTATCAGTTGAAAGTAAATGGGTTTATAACAAGTTGAGCTTCTGTCATATACTTGAATTTGAAGATTCTCTTGTCTGCTTCATTTTCAGAGATCACTCGTCTTTTTGAGTTTCATTAACAACTTTCGATTCTGTTAACCTTTGATCATCCTTTTCATGTGTATACCTTGGCATGGAGACATTTCATTTAAAAAACGAGCTTCCAAGCTTTAAATATGATAGTTCGGTAGCTGTGAGTATGATACAGTGATATGCTCTCGATACTATGTTGGTCCTATTATTCTCCCCACTGTTTTTCTCCTCTAGATTCTAGGACATTTAAATGGTCCAATTTCTCTAGAAAAGAAGTTTTGTTATGGTGTGCTTGGTAGTTAGATGTCTTGCTTGAAAGTTCTTTGATGTTTCATTTTAACCACATTTATAACCACCACTTTGATAAGTTCTAGTGATTTTGACAGGAGTTAGATTTCTTGATTGAGGCCAAAAACAGCATAAAATGCATGGCCAATTTCCAAAAGCTCTCTCCACATATTGCTGAGTATGTTTATGCACCAAAAATACATTGGAACTTAAGCACATCAAAGTTGTTGGTGATGGAATATATCGATGGGGCTCAAGTAAATGATTTGAGGACCATAGAGAAGTTAGGAATTCATCCAAGTGATGTTTCCAAATTGGTAAGCTTTTGCACTTCCTCTATGAAATTCAATTTGAAGATCTGAATATTCTGGGAGATCAAACAGTTGATGTAGAATATTCTGCTTCAATTTGGATCCATACAGTTTCTTACAACTAGTATTCTGTATTGCACCTACGTATAGCACTTGATATGATATAATAGGTACATAGATGACAGGCCTGTATAAATTTCTTCATTTCTCGGCCTGGAATATCGTCTGTTGCTATATCGTCTTGTATACATTTTTGTTTTCAGTTTTTAACTTTTAGAAGATGTTTGTCTTATTCTTTACAGTTGAGTCAAGCTTTTGCAGAAATGATGTTCAAACATGGTTTTGTACACTGTGATCCACATGCTGCAAATGTGCTTGTTCGTCCATTGCCTTCTGGTGGTTGGAGAATTTTGGGTGAGAAGAATTCTACGTTGTCATTATAATCGTTCACTTTAGTCTTGCCATCCCTCCCTCCGCCTCTAAGCAACAAGCGATTGACTTTGTTGCATTTTACGCACATTTTAGCAATATCTTGATAAGTTTATGTATTACTGGCTCAGTGTGGATGTTACATTTCAAACAATTGATTCGGGAAAACAGTTTGTGTGTGTTGATATAATACAAGATTTATGTTATCCGAACTTTCCCTAACCATATAGGGGACAAATTGGAAAAGACTTGTGATGCCATTCTTTTACAGTTACATAAATGTATTTTCTGAAGAATCTTTATAAATTCCATTCATTGGCATATCCAACTATTCCATTCATGTGCTTGCAATCTACTTTTCCTGTTGAACAGCTGTTCTGTTGCCATAACTTGATGCTCATTTTGGTTTTTGATTACTCAGGAAAGAAAAAACCGCAGCTGGTATTGTTGGACCATGGTTTATACAAGGATCTCGACATCTCCACGCGGATTAACTATGCTACCCTGTGGAAGGTGCATAGTTTTCAGCATTATTATATTATGAGTGGATGAATGTGTCTCAAATTGGTATATCAATTTGTCTCCGAATGAAACCTCATTTGATGGTGTGGCAACTTGGCTTATATGACAGGGTTTAATATTTTCTGATGCCAATGCAATTAAGGAAAATAGTGTGAAACTAGGTGCTGGGGAGGATCTTTATGCATTATTTGCTGCTATTCTTACAATGAAGCCTTGGGCAAAAATTATTGATCCTGCTATGGATCATCTAGTGGTTCGGGGCTCTGATAGTGAGCGTGCTGAACTCCAGGTAAGCAAATGAAACCTAATTTTAATTTTTATCAATTAAATATCTTGTTAGATACTCTGCTCATCCCTTGTTATCTTTAAACTATTTTACAAAAACTACCCTTTTGGTTCAAACGAAAAAAACAAATCATGAATTTCTTTCGGAAAGATGAATACCGACTTTGAGGCTTATATTTTCTTAATTCATATCCCATAGAAAGGTGTGTTTTGAAATATAATCAATTATTGGGGGTATTTATATATATTCTTCAACAAACTGATTCTCTGAGGTTACTGATAAACTATCTCGCTTTTTCTCATAGATGTACGCCTCCCAATACTTCCCTCAAATCTCTGAGCTTCTCAGGAGACTCCCTCGTGTTATTCTTTTGATGCTCAAGACAAATGATTGCATACGTGCCGTCAATCGAGCACTGGTATGTTATATCTTTTAGTCTTTAATTTTTTTAAATTTTAGTCATGGTGTTCTGTGTTAAGCATATGAACGCATATGCAAAGGTTCTAACAGGCAATCTTGTTTTGAAAAAAAAATATATATATATATATATATAAAATTAATGTGCAAGATAATGAAAATTACCCGATCTTGGGCCCTGTTACAAGAAAACTTAGTATCGATATTTTTCTTTTTTATTTCATAATCTGTGGTTTATTATCATTGTGCTAAGGAAATAATAAAAAAGAAAACTTGAAATTTATGTTTTCATTACAGAAACAGGGTTCTTCTCTCGAGACATTTCTGATTGTCGGAAGAGTTTCTTCTGAAGCCGTGATAGAATCGAAATTGTTGCACAGTAGGTCCATTATGTCCCGTGTCCATGTGTGGCTCGAGGAGTTCCTCTTAGAAGTCCGATTATTCGGATTGCAGATTGCTCTATGGCTTTTAAAACTCCAGAAAGCTTTGACATTGTGAAACCTAGTCGAACTTTCTACATCAGCTGCTGGATTTTTTTCTTGATCTACAGTCAATAAAGCTCAGGGTACATAACATTCTTTTTTACTTAAAAGAAAATTCGGGAATATGTAAGTGTTCCCTTTATTTATAGGTCATTTTTTTTTTGGGGGGATTTAGCACAAGTGTTGGTAAAGATTGGGACATGCATTTGAGAATATGTACAATTAACTCGGAAAATGTACAAAAATTTATCCCTATGGAGATGTTTATCCTTGGCTCTTTCACAAGTTTGATTATAAAGAACATTGATGGTGTCATGGGTGTACCTACTATTTTTCATTTGTTTGATGAGTTATAAAAGATTAGTATTAAATATTATGTACTTTTCATGTGCATGAAATGCGCATGCAGTAGGGGTCCATCCAATTGGGAAACAAGAGACCGAAAATATTTTATGAGATCTTATCTTTAATAAAATTTTATTTTATAATTTATGTTCCGGTTTGTTTTTATAACATAACATAGGTTAAAAAGCAAGACATATTAATTACAAATTTAAATTAATTTTGATTGATTAAAATAAAATATTATTAAAAAAACTATTGTATCTATTGATAGTTGGTGTATAATTATTATTTAGGACTAGTTGTAACCTGTGCATTTGCACAGAAAGCTATATGATAAAGAATAAAATAATAAAAAAAAATTTAAACAATAGTAAAAATTATAACATAATCATCAAAAAAAACGTTTTTAAAAAGAAATTAAATATTATTAAACTCTTCTTTATGTGCAACATTCGTGGTTTTTTAATCGTTAGAATCTCCATCACCACAAATCATTATCTTCAAACCCCTTCAGCTCGTAACTCTAGAAAGCGCCACATACAATTTTTCATGGCTATATACGGGGCTCTTCAGTAGTAAGCTGATGTGCGACAAAATTGTCCTTGACTCTTATTGATTGTCATAGCAAACTGCCTGCACTGAAACTTGAAAGGTACCCTCAAATCGGATGGTATGGTTTTGAGCATACGAATAAGAACTTTATCACCAGCTCTGGCACCGATTCATATTTTGCATTCGAATACATGGCTGTTGAGCTTAGTAATAACTAATCGAGTATATTTTGATCTCAAATTTGGAGAACAAATGTCAAAAACATATCAATCAAATTCTATACTAATCAAAGAAAATAAAAATGATGGATAATAATTTTATTGGCTTCAATTGAAGTGCACTCTTTGTCGTTTGATGCGATTACAATTTGTCGTTGTACCGGTTATGTTGATATCTTCATAACTATCACTTACAACCTCAAATGGCCTGAAATCAGTCGATTCCTTTCTGAAAGGAACCTCAACCCTAAGGACCGTCTAGATATAATTTGTCGTTCTTTAAGGCGAAGTTTGATGCACTGATGAAGGATGTTCGGACCCATATAGCACGGCCAAAGTTTCATCCAACACACATATATAGAACATTTAAGAAGGTGGTAGAGGCATGTATTTGATGCATGAAACCCTACCACGTGCAACATTTTCAACGTTTCTTCTTCACTTTTAATTTTTTTTTTCTCTCATCTAACACAAACACTCGGATCGATTCCTATTTTGTTTAGCTGTCGTAGTCATGCTTTTAATTTATCAATGGGGAAGCTATTGATCTAGATGTGAATTGTTTGTTTAAATGTTTAATATATTTGTATGCTTTTTGTATTATTTCGTGGATAAAGTTTTCGGATCATTTTTGTTGTATAAATTTTTTATGACAAATAATTCTGGTCGGGAAACACCTTAAAATTTTCTATAGCATAAATACGACCCTCATTGATTTTAAACTTCTTAAAATTTTTCAGCGAAGCAACTCGGGCCTGAAGCGTGAATTCACTGACCATACACGATAAAAAATAATATTATAAAAAATTGATATTGAAATAGTATGTGTTAAAAAAGACTTAAAAATTTTCTATACCTTGACATCGTGAAACGTACTCCAATTCGCATTTTGATGTTTTTTCTTTTTATTTTCATTTTATCAAAGATCTTGTTTAATTATGGCGAATCAACCTCAATATTATCAAACATAAAAGCCATTTGAAATGAGAATTTGGCTGAATTTTTTTTCCCTATTGAGTAGTATTTTTTGCTGAATGTGATTTTGGTTCTTATTTTTTTAGATATTTATAAAGTTTTAAAAAATGGTCATTGATTGTATAATTTAATTGCCAAGTGATTGCTCATTTTTAAAGAATGACTGATTGATTTTAATTTATTTTTTTGACTGACTCTAATATTGTCCTGCAATTTTAATTGATGGATTGCATGATTCTTCATTTATATAATATTTAATACTTAAGATAAATAATGAGTATATCATATTGTAGAAATTATATGGTTTGTAAATATAAACGATATAAGTATAAACTATTTAACCTACATATAAATCACTATAATGATAATTGTAGAACATAATAGTGACTATGACCAATTAATTAGATAAAAAATGATTTGGTTATGCCATAAAAAGTAATTAACTATTTGTATTAAAAAATATTATTGAGTTAAAAATATTTATTATTTTAAATAAGTAGCTTAAAAAATCTAAGTAATTATTTTTATATGTATAAACTTTCTTAGTTACTATTATTTATTATGTAATTATAAAATATATAATTTAATTAATTAATGAAAAATATATCAGCTTCTTTTTACAATTAGTTTAATAAAATGTGTTGATTTTATTTTTGCAATAAATTTCATTGTGAATAGTTATATATAGGAATATAAATATAATCATAACGGGAATGATATTTATATAAAATACATTAATTATTATTATTATTATTATTATTATTATTATTATTATTATTATTATTATCATCATCATTACTACTGCTATTTGAGGCTATGAATTTTATTTAAACGATTTTTTTTTTTGAAAAATTAAACACGTTCTTATGCAACAATAATTTGTCTTTTATAAGAACGATTGTTTTATATTATACCACGGGTTTTGGTAGAATAATTTGTAATCATCTATTTAAAAAATATATAGAATAAAAGTTAGAATTATTAAATGAGCGCATAAAATCGTAACAATTAATTTCAACATTAGTATGCTTACATATTAAGTAAAAAACCAAGCTACTATGTAAAAAAAATAAAAATAGAATATGCAAATTTTTATTGTTGTGATAATTTCTAATTATATATATAGGTTATTTTAAATTTTAATTAGTTTTTATTAGATGTCATAAAAGAAAATAAAAAGATGAAAATACCATTTAAAAGAATGAAACGTTACAATGTATAATCATAAATGTACAATAATAATCCATAATTGTAAAAGTAACGTTCATTCTATATGGAATGTTATAGTATTTATTAGGTATAATTTATTAGGTAAAATTAAATAGGTTTTATTTATGAGGTTTTATTTAATGATTAGCTAGCAATTATATATATATATATAGATTATGCTCCATCAGTTTTGTTATGAAGCCATCGGATGGCTCGATTTATGGAGTCATCCACAGTTATTCACAAATCGTGTATTGACACATATTTTACAATAAATACACTTTGAACAGGTGTCATACATTAAGTGATTGATGATTCCATAAGAAAACCATCCGATGGCTCCATAAAATTTTTGTACGCTCCATACTGAATTTTCTATTATTAAATTAATACACACTCGTATAGTTATATGGATCCAACCATGAGTTTATCAACTAAAAGAAGAGATATATAAGCTAGACCTTCAAGACTACATTCAATTGTGACAAGCAATTTGGAAAATTTTTATTGAATATACCAAAAAAAAAAAATGATTATTTAACAAAATTAAAAAAGATTTTTTTTTTTTTGGTACATGGACCTTTCGGTTTCCGAATCCACAGGGGAACCGACTAATCCGGAATCGAGCCGGGTAGGACCACAAGGGCGGCAAAGCTCTCCCTCAAGAGTTTTTAACACTGCTGCATTCCTAAAGCTCGAACACGAGACCACTAGTTAAACTGGAAGAGACCAAAGTCATCTCATCCAAGCGCTCTTGGATATTAAAAAAAAATTATGACAACCTAATTGTCTCTCTTTGGGAGACTTTTGGAAAGTTAGTTGAGCAAATAGTAGCTAATATAGCCGTATTAATAGCATTTGGTGAAAACTTCAACTGTCCTTTACCAACAAAAACCAGCACACCATTAAAGCTCCTATGCTATGCTACCAACCAACCCTTCCCTCTTTCTCTCCCTCACACACACACACCTGCACACGCACAGTGTGTGTAGACTATGCCCTTCAGTCTCCTTCGTGTGCTCGTACTAGAGAATTAAATCGGGTCCTTCAATTTTGGGCTGGCGCCATTAAATTCCGACCCCAAACACAGATCAATTTTTTCCATCACTGGCGAGGTAAAATCGGAATCTGATAACTCGAACGTAAAAAAGAAGAAGAAGAGAGATGGTGGGACCACAGAGGCCACAGTTTGTGCTGTTCGGGTCGTCGATTGTTCAGCTCAGCCACGGCCATGGCGGTTGGGGGGCCATCCTCTCCGATATCTACGCCCGCAAAGTATGTCGCATATGCGTATATATGTATATAACTTATTTGTCTCTTCTTTTTATTTTTTTGAAGGGAAAAAGAAGATGGGTTCACATTAATTTTGGCTTTTGGTACTGCATTTAAGGTGTTTGAATAAATGACAGGGGAATTTCTGTTCAGTTTGATTTCTCCAGAGTATGCGTGGAGTTTATGAAGTCAGGTTTTACTGGATAAGTGTTCGAATATTGAGATTTTCTGTATGTTTTAGTGTCTGTTTGTTAGGAAATTGTTGGGATGTTTTTTAGCTGAACCGACTCTAAGAATGGATTTCAAAATTCAAATGACATTGTGTTTGTTGTTGCTATGGATGTTCACGTGGCACTCAGCTTGTGGGAGCTGCGAATCATTTGTAGTCGTGACTAATCTCCTGATTGTATTGTTTTGATTGATGTCTTCAAGTTAGAGGTGTTCT